CCTTGCCTTCAGTACGAGATCTCTTGGCACACGACTCTGGCAGGCGTGCAGAACTCATAGCCCTCCACCTCTCTACCCGGAGAGATGCGACTGTCTGTAATCTGCTTCCTCAACTACACCTGTGGTTGCAATGGTGAAAATAAATGATGCCTAACTTGACTGCTAGAGGACATTTAAAAATAAACCCAACATAATCCTGTGATTTATTTGCCAGCTTCTCCTCCTTTAAAGATGTTAAAATCACAGGATTATGTCATAAATATTTGATAGGTTGACGACACTAATCATATATTTGTGTGCTCAGGATTCTAATTGTCTTTATGACTGAGAATTTATTTCCTACTAGGTTATTTTAGAGTTTTCCATACCTGGAAACCTGGAATGGCCACCGTGCTGTTTCAACACTGATGTCAAGAAGGGTCAAAAACCATCCAACCTTTCTGCCTGCCAACATATGCAAGGACTTTGCCACTGGAGGTCTTTGATCCTTGCCTCTGAACAGATTGAGGAGCTAGTCTGAGAGATTTACATTTGAAGTCCACTCTACTGGCAGAAGTGATGGGAAGCTCACATTTTTATTTTATTTTTTTCAAATGTTTTACCCTGAAATGGCTTCCCAAAATCCTATACCTGAGCATGCTTTCCTTCCCTTGGAAACTTCTCTGCTTTGGGGTTGCTTGATTACTGATCCTGATTCATTAGGAAATGGCAATACCAGATGAATTCTGTTATTTCTCACCTTACCTGGTACTAAATATTAAGGGTGACATAGCATGTCATATCTCTCATTAATCCAGATTTTTAGCAGTTCTTCCAGAGATCCTGTGTCACATGCTCTTGTGTCCAGTCTAGGAAGGACTTCTAGTGCGGTGCCTTTACACTAGAATAGTGTAAACTCGGCCCTATTAACATCAAAAGCTGGGATTGACATCGCAGATTAATGAAGATTACATGTGGCGATTACTGGCCATGGAATGAATTGTGATGACCTTTTGTCCCATCAGAAGGTAATAAATCAGACATCAGTTAAACTCTCTGTAGACGAGCTTGGAGGTGGGCATGTAGGCTACTTTCAGTGGACATGCGAGACAAAAATAGCTCAAGGACACAGACGGGGCTTTTTTTTTTGTTTGTTTGTTTGTTTCCTTTTAAATTGCGAGTGCTAATCTGAGACCTTTTTTTATAGTAACTATGTGAAAGTCGTTCTCAAAGCTCGGTTGATATCCCAACTTTCCCCAAGGGACAGAAATTAGTCAATCAAAGCTGTGATCTACAAAGCAGACGCGCCCCTCCAACGATACGGAATTGTTGGCAGACGGGGATGTTGCATGGGATTACACACCAGCCCTGGATCTCACATTCTCAGTATTCTTCGAATGCAAACCCGCACGTCGCCCCCACATACAGAGGGCTGACCCCTCTTTTGAAAAAGAAGCGTGCAGATCCCATGCTTAGTGACCCCAACCTGCCCCGGCTTCCACTTCCCACTGCCACCTCTCTGTTTCCCGTCCCTTTTATTATTTCAACAGCCACCTTCCACTCACCCATCCACCCATCGTCTGGCGTGGGAACCTACACCTGTAGCTCTCCCCAGACATCACTAGTGGTACATCCTTTGCTTTTATCATCATTGTGGTCTACTGTGGAGAATTAAATAACTACCTGGAATAGATAATGATTATTATTTTTCCCTTAAATGTCAGTGCATCATTACCTCAGTCACTGAGTGCATCCAACTAACATCCTTTGTTTCTTACCATTGCTCCCCCTTCTTGACTTGAAAGCTAGGATTTCTCCAAGTAAATCCTCTAATCCATTTGGAAGGGTTTTGGAGATTTGACTGCAGATACTTTGTAGTCTCAAATGATGTATTTCACGCTGTCAGACATGGCAGATGTGTTTTGAGTTGAAAAAAGGGCAGGTTAATGATGTTAGGATACTTTCTGAGTCTGATTATATGATTAGGACTTGCACAGGAGCCACTGGCGGCTTGTTTTGACTTCAGCAATTCAACTGTGCTGCTCAGGCTCAGTAGCACACATGCTGACACTAATTGTCCCCGTGCTGACTGTGTCTCTTCATGGACAATGGTTTTGATTGGAATGGGGGTGAGTTACGGTGTTGGGACAAGGGTCTTTGTTCAGTTGCCTTCACCCCCTTCCCTCCCCCACTCCTCCCCTTTATCCCTCTGCCCATCCATCTATCTTGTTCCAACCATTTGGGCAGCTGTCACTTAATCCAGCTAATCACAGACGGGGACGGTCTGTGGGAAACCAGACTAGTCCATGGCTTTGCTCATCCCCAGCATGCGCGATTCGGGACTGTTTACTCAAACGTTTACTACATGTAGGCATGTAAGGAAGCCTGGACTTAAAGTAAACCCCAAAAGGTGCAAGTCACGGTATGACCACCCCTTCTTTGTTTAATCTTTGAATGTGCGTCACGACAAGGTTCGTCTCTCTGCATAGTCTCACGAAACAGACAGGCTTCATTCTAAGATCTCCTGTCCCAAATGCATGTATTGCCACTTATAGTTCCTCTTTATATCCACTGGCATATGCACCCACCCATCCAAATGCTCTGAGTGGGTCGGCCAGCCCACCCTTTTGTTGTTGGGGGAGGGTGGGTTTTTAGAAAGGTCAGAAGCCGTCTACGTGTCGTGGGATGATGCACGTTCATGTATAATAATCCACGTTTGAGCCCGCATCTGTTGTGTGTCTGCGGTCGGATGGGTTGGCAAAGCTTCCGGCAACAGAAGCACGAGTCTGCCCATGCCCTGATCCCCTGATTTCTCTTAACTCCTAACTATAGCTTTCCATCTCTTCACGCCAGCCTTCTTTTCTTTTCTAATGTTGTCTTGCCTGGATACATACAATCTCACACACCTGCACTCCCAATCCTTATTAACCCAAGCTCTCCCGCTCACACCTATCCTGTCATCTTCCATTCCGTTCTCTTTTCACCAATGATCTTCCACAATAACACTCCCCTCCCTTTCCTCCCGCTGCCACCCACAGCCAGACAAGCCTCTTTAATCCAACAGCCCAGCAGCAACTAGCCTACCAGCTTGTTGGTCCCCCAGAACAACAACGTAGGCAGACGTACACATGTTTTACAGTGACCCTCCCTGATTTCTCCTCCTCATTTCATTCAACTTTAAGTAGCTCAAATGCTACTATCTTTTTTTTTTTTTTCCTTCCATCCACACTGAGAGTAATGCCCCGTCATTGACATTACACTAGAGATCACAGCAGTCACACTGTGGCTACTACAACTGTCACTGGCGGTGACGTAACGAGTGCTATTTAGGTCAGCTAGTTGCCTAGCAGTGTGCCCTGCAGCACACCAGCTAGATTACTGTGATACTGGTTAGCTTGGTTATTTTGTGTGCGGGTGTTTACTCGAGCAGCATCAGCTGTGCAGAATGCTCAAGTTTTTGCTGCATCGTTGCTTAAAACGCAAACGGTTGTCTGGTTTCCATTAAGTGTGAATAAAACAGTTTCAGTCCATAAACTGACTTTCATCAGAGTGGGCGGTCCCGTCTGTCCATTGGTCGAGGGGAGTTAAGCAACCAGAGGAGCTTTCACATTAATGAAACTCCATCAATAGATCATCAATCGTATCTTTGCTCGTCTTTATTATTAATTGCACAATAATTTCAGCAGAGTGTAAAACCCATGTAGCGCTGTCGTACTGGTTAACTGTAAAGCATAACTTGGACAGAAACAAGATAATCCCCTTAGCTGCTGCTTTCTTTCACTGTCTGACAACCAAGGATAAAGCCAATTCATCTCACACAGCTTATACTGGCAAAGTGACCGTACATTTTTGCAGATTTTTCTTCTTTTTTTTTTTTTAATTTCTTTTTTGATAAAAGGCAAACTTAAAAACTGGAGACTGAAGCAGGAAAGATTGACTTTGGTTAGACATCACTTTTGCACATTAGACTGAAATGTGTACATGTGATCATAGCCCCTGCCTGACATGTACTATATCTTGTAGTTGTATTCCTGAATGGCTCTTATCTCATTTTGATGTGTTTGGACCGCTCTGTAAGGGTACAAAAACTCTTTTAAACCAGCTATAATCCCAATACCCAATGCGATGCATTATCTTCCTGTCATGTACTTTTCACATCGAAGTCCTGTTCCCTGTCTTGGCTCTTTTCCACAGTTGTAATTGTTGTCTTACACTGTCAATGAAACCCAATGATTCAGCAGTAACTTCAGCATACCCTTGGATAATGGAGCCGAGGTCCATATGAGACGCTGTAGTAGCAGTAAAATTGATTTTTGTATCCGTGCGTGCTGATGTTTGAGAGCAGCACAGCTGAGGCTAAAATGATCATCTCCACAGTTCGGTCTGTTTTTAGAAAACGGCTGTCATTATTAATGCGTACTGCTGTGATTTTAGGAACAAAATGACAAAGGCTGTTTTAATGTTCCCTTTTCCCCCCCCCTCTAGTTACAAAAAACAAAAACTGGTTGGAGAATATTTCATTGTCCTCAATTCCTCTTTGTCTTTAGATTTAAATGTCAACAAGGTTACCTTCAAGACGAGTAAAATCAACTGAAATTCTGTCTTGCAATGCTCACTGGGTTTCGCTACAACAGCCATGTCACAATTGGACTGGTCACGGTAATCACTGAATAAAGTGGAACTTTTCATTGTACAGCAGGTATTACAGTGTGGCCTGTGATTAATAGTCCCAAACATTTGTGCGTGCATTGGAATATAAGGTGTACTCTGAGACTCTGTTTGCAACTTCATTTACTGGAAATGCATTGATTTCTGTTTGTAGAAGGAAAAAGAGCTGCAAAAATGCAGCTTATGGACACAACTATTACATGTGCATGATCCTGAAGACTCCTGTTATTCACATTATACCAGTCAATGGCCAACACTAAACAAGCTCATTTAGGCCCACCTGCCCAAAACTAAAATAATGAGTCATAAATGCCATGTGACTAATGTCTTTTTGTTTTTGCTTTTTCCTTCAGCGGACATACACGTTGATTGTAGAGGCCTGGGACTGGGACAACAAGACACGAGAAAGTAAGTTTAAACCTCACCTTCATCATACTGCTTTGGATTTTACTATGTAGCGTTTGTCAGTAAGAAGTGTTTAGTACAAATCTTGACTGGCGTTGGATTTCTTTGAGTTTAGTATCGACATCAATACTTGAGTTTCGAATTTGATTTGATTGCAATCCAGTGTGTGTGTAGTAAGGGTCCTTTTTTTTAATGTATTTTTTCCTTATTTATTTATTTTAATACAGTAATGAGAACATCTTACAGTTAAAAAAAAAAAAACCATGACGCTACATTACGTTTAATCATTTCCACTAAAATGTGCCAAAGATCTTTCCAGCATATCCTCCAAATTTCTTAAATACTTTGTGACACATAGTTTAATGATGGCTTAATGGCAGAGGTCACGAATTACAGGACTCCTCATAAAGAATACAAGCCTTGGTTTTCCTTGGCTATGTTGGCTGTGGCAGTCAGTTTTGACCAGCTGTATCCTGTTTTCCTTTGGTTGTGTCCGCTGGGTGGACTCCTGTAGAGCCTCTTTTTTTCCCCATCTGAGCAGTAGCCCAGTCTAGGAGGAAGAGGACACATTGAGGCATATAATGTCTGCATGTCTAGATGTAACTTTGATCTGTGAGAAAGGTGTCATTTTTCATGTGTCTCTATTAACCTTATGTGCATGCAAGGGTGAATTAATTTTTGTATTGAATCATGCCATCCTGTCTTGTCCAGTCTTGAGCTTATTCTGTTTATATGAGGTCACTGCATCCTGTTTTGTCCATAACATCAAACACACTTCCACTTGAGAATGCAGACAATGGAGAAGAAATAGATTTTGACATCATCACTCTTTGATTAGACTGTGCATGCCCTGTGTAGTCTCCTGTTTCTGCACTGATTGTGTACATTTACGGTAATTAGTTCTGATGAAGGTGGTACGGCCCAGTTGTTGAGTAACAGACCAGTTGATTATCTGCCAACTACTCTCGCTTTAGTCTCAGCCAAATCGCTATAAAGAAGATGAAGATTTTTTTTTTTTTCCCCAAGACATGGGACTCCTCACCAAGATGAGAAGGAAAATGCTGTGCTTTTCATCATTTGCCAAACTATAGAAAAACCTTAATTATACTGTCCTTTGAATCTGAGGCAGCTTAGATTTTATTTTATTTTCATTGTCATTTTCAGATGTCACTAGCTTTTGTCCCAAATTTCTTACCTTAGTAAGTTCAAGAAATAACAATGTCTGGAACAAACACGTTTGGTTTTTTCTTTTGTGGAGGATGGTGGGCCAGTCTGCAGTAGTAGCAAGCTTATGTCAGAGTTGGGCAGTTATTACAGCTTTTCTCAGCAGGTGGGAGGGTTGGACAGGTCACACGTGAACTTGTCTTATCTTTTCATTAGCAGTGGTGTCTTGTGCTTTTCATAGCAACGTGTTAGAAGTAGGTTTATTTCATGAGTAATGGTAAGGCAACTTTTTATAAATGGGGAGACTTGTTAGAAAGACATGGACCTCATTCTCCAGTAGTTCTAAGACAGCGCTCCCCAAACCTTTTTGCGCTACATGTCAGACATGATTTTTACGGACTGGCCTTTAAGGTGTCGTCCATAAATACAACAAAATAAAATGATACAACAAAGACAAACTGTGGTATTTTGTAAATACAATAATAACCGTGAATTCACTGTGTAATTGTAACTTTACTAGCAGCGTCCCCCTGAAATGCGCCAACAACATTGAGAGTAACATCGTCCCCTCTGCCCCTTAATGCTCTCTGGTCGCTATGGTAATGCATACATATTTCTTTCAAAATAAGACACAACTACAACACAGGAAAAGACCCAGAGAAACAGAGTTAATAATAATTTAAAAAAAAAAACAACAACCTGAAAACCATAAATTTCACACCCAAGCCTGAACTCTCGCAGCCTGGTACCAAGCGACTCCTGTACTGGTCTGTGGCCCGGGGGTTGGGGGACCGCTGTTCTAAGATGTCAAGCCTTCATCTAGATTTACAGAACAGAAAAGCATCATCTGAACCCCTTTGTTACTGATGGTAAAAGATTTTCTTCCACCAAAACTAAAGCGCCAGTCACACAAATTTAGAGACCCATCAGTGGGTTTTTTGTCTTCTTTGGTTGCACTGACTGGTCTGTAGGCCTTAGTAGAGCCAAGATCATGAACATTGAAGCACCAGTTCTATTACACCAGATCTATACTGGGCCAACACCAGAACACCACATATTGGTGAGAATTGGGGTGCAACAACCAAATCCGTAGTTTGATCTATACTAATGGATACATGTGGAACTGCAGCTTGAAGCCGTTGTAACCATTGCAAGAAAAAACAAAAAAAGGAGCCTGTTAAGTCAGTTGGTAGTGCTGAAAAAACAGTGCTTGTATTAATATGGACACCAATGCTAATGAATCAATGCTGGGACATATTCAGTCTTCCTTCCTCATGTTTCCCTGTTCGTCCCTGTTGTAGTGCTCCTTTGTCATTCACTTGCCTCTTCAGAGACCTCCTCACCCCAGTGGTGTACTCTGACTCACTGTGTACTAGAGGTGCACTCTAACTAGAACCTGTAGCAGGTGGAGACTTTGGAGAGTTTGCAGAACAGAACAGGGTCTGCATTTGCAAGCTACTGCAAAGTTGAATATTCTGGAGACACGCCACTCCAAGTGTAGCCATAGTTCACACTTGTCATGAGCCAGCGATACTTAAGTTTTTCTTTTGCTTGTCATTGAACTATTTGTTGTTTTTGCACAGATGGATTCTTCATTCTCAGTCTGAGACATTAAGTTGAACTTGTCTGGCCTGAGTCAGCATCGGGGTCATGTCTGGTCCTACGTAAGAGCCTACCAGTGTGTCGAGGATGTCAGTGAGATTCCTCTCTTCCAGCGTCATGTCCTCCATAGCACCCCTCTTCCCTTCCCCCTGTGTCCTCAGGAAAGGCTGCCGGCTGTTTTCCTTGTGTTTATCGAGCAGGAAGTGGACTGGACTGGGTGGCCGGGCTCAGTGTTTAGACGCTTAGTAGCAGAGACCGGCTTGGGCCCCGAGCCCATTGTTCTCTATCTGGCAACCACCGAGGGTTATTTCTGTTATTGTTGCTTAATTTTGTCTGACATTGTCAGACTCCAGCAGAGGAATGTGTGTGTGTGCGCGTGTTACTGCTTTAAAATGTCTTTGGAGCATTGAGCCCAAAGCCACGGAGGAAGTCGCAGGCCCCCATATTTCCACAGAGATTGTTCTCCAGCTTTGACTCCACTGTGAAAAGATTGCCTGTTATTTCATTCTGCCCCTCAGAAGTAGACTGTTTGAATGCTAGAGGATGATTGGCTTTAAATGTTTCACAGATGCTTCATGATGGTGCTTGTTTAAAGCTCACAGATGATATGTGCTGTTGCCAGAAAATTGACAATGAATTTCAAGAGCGCACTTAAAATTCAGTGGGTACAATTGAGTGTGACTGTACGAATGGATAGAGGGTCCACATCAGCGTCCGATTTTCAAATTGCTTCAAATAAATTAGTTTTTAGTCATCCTGATCCTCAGCCTTTAAACAACTTAGTTAATGGAGAGACTTCTGCATAAAGGTTTCACTCCTTAGATAGTGTTTTTTTTTTTAAAGTGCTTGATTGATCTTCATTACCTTTTAAGTTGATGATAGCAAGTGGAAGCTTATTTACAGAAAGCAGTGACCTCTGATGCTGAAAAGCGAAGCCACCAGAAAGTGCCACAAACTGCAGTATCTCAAAAAACCTCCTGAGAGTGACTGAAGATGCAAGTCAGGTCCAAGAGATTCTCATATTAAAGTCTCCAACTGTAATCTTTTATATAAAGTCTACTGTTGACACTCTGTTAGATGCTGTGGCTCGGTCTGTAACAGACGGACAGAAGCGTGCAATAGGCAGGGGAAAGAAAAAGTGTGAGGATCTCAGCCTGGGTAGTGGGTATTTGTTGGTTATTGCACAGCATGTGTGCCTTATTTATGTGGTCCGAGTGTTTGTCAGAGTCTGAAATCGGATCTTTTACACTTTTCTGTATTTTGACTGTTAAACTAGTTGATTATTTTAAATCTGGCTTAAATGTGGAGTCTACCACACGTGCAGGCACCGCCTGTGCAACAAACGTTCAGAATTAATATCTCTGTAAATGCTCAGTACCAGCCAGATTCTTCCCCCCCCCCCCCCCCCCCCCCCCCCCCCCCCCCCCCCTCGCTATCCTTAATGGCAAACTCAGACACAGTTCTGGTGGTGAGCAGAGAAGGCTCCCTCACTTGCTGGTCAGACCATCGATTTGCAAGAGGGCAGCCAATCAGAAGGAAGCTGGCTTAAAAAGAGAGACCTTGAAATGTCTTGCTTTTATAAACGGGGAGAACTATGCGGGTTTACTTCGAGCTATGAGGATTGTTATGAACTGTGAATTATACAAATTAACTTGAGGGTTGAGAATAAATATGGAGCATTACAGAGCTTCATAAAGTTGGTAAAATGCACTGAAGTCTGGGACGGCCTAAAAATTTAAAATGAGTGACTGTAGTTGGTGTTCGTGTAGGGAATACTAATAAGCTGTGGTGCTCACTTTGAAGAAAAAGCTGGGAATGATTCTTTACATGGCACCAGGCAACATCAGGCTGTACTTAAACACCACTTTCAATTTACCTATTGCATACCTCTCTGATCTAGTCACGTTAGACTCTTCTCTCCCTCCTCTCACTGTAAGTGTAGCTGCTCTCAGCAGACAAAAGGTGTGAAAGTGAAATGAAGTGAAATATTAATTCAGTTTATGGCAGGATATTATTTTAGCACAAGTCCAATAAAAGCTTCTAAAGCTAGTGTAGAACATAACAAGAGAAAGGCAATAATGAAATGTCATCGTCTGAGCTTTACACTTTGTGTCGACTCTGTTGACCGCAATGATCAAGTCAAAAAACTAAACTGCCGTATAGATGGACGTTTTGTCAGGACACCTTTTGAGTGGACTAATATCTGATCCAGTGTCAGGTTGAGTTGCTTTATGTGTGGTGAGAAGGAAGTGAGTCTGAATCGCACATTCACCCCGTTTTGTTTCAGCTGAGGAGGACCTGCTGATTGAGCGCAGCGCCCGCACTGGCATGATCAACCCTGGTGACCCCTGGCAGACAATCATGCACGATGGGCCCGTGGCTCGCATCACTTATCGTATCCGGGTAAAGTGTGACGAAAACTACTACACCAGCACGTGCAACATACAGTGTTCTCCTCGTGACGACTACTTTGGCCACTACCGCTGTGGACCTTTAGGCACCCGTGTGTGCCTGGATGGTTGGATGGGCCACGACTGCACAACAGGTGAGCTCCTAGCACCTTAAAATGTCTTCAAAAATAAAAATAAATGCGTGAATGAATTGTAAAGATTCGCTGCCTTTTGAGATCTATTTAATGAGATGTCTTTTAAACTGTTTCTATTAAGTTTGGGTTCAGATTTTCAAAGGGAGTCCGATCAGTTTACTCTTTACTGATCATCAAGGCTATAATTATTAAAGTAAGATGGCAGAAATGTGCAGTATGCATAAATAAACGTAGAATGTTTGGTCAGGTCATTATTCTAAAGTCTAGCAGTGTTGAGGTCATGCTTGTGGGTGGTGTTGGAGAGAGTGGGGGGCCCTCAATAAATCATCCAACTGACCTTAGAAGATGAAGGGTGAAAAAGGGGAGGAGAGCGCAGAAGGCCTGGCTTGTTTGTTTTTTTTTTTTTTTTTAAAAAGAGGGTGGTGTTTTATGCAGGCCATAAAGTTGTCTAGTCAGGGTGCCATGAATTTTCATGTCTTGTTGCACTTGTTAGGATGAAGGCAAACAAAACAAACCAGCGTCTCTACCACCCACTTTCTGTCTTGGTGCCCCCTTTCCTCCACTTCTTTAATTACCTGGGTTGCATGGGATGGGAAGAGATGCATTTAAATAAACACATGTTGTTGCTCTTTTTCTGTCTTAGCGATCTGCAAGCAAGGTTGCAACCTGTTACATGGCTCATGCAGTGTCCCAGGCGAATGCAAGTAAGATGACTGGGAAGATTTTATTTGATATGCAAAAATGTGAATCATAAATGCAGAATCTTTCTGTTTCTGGCGCTGTAATTTTCTAAATGTATCACATGTCGTAAAATGTTAGATCACTGTCATATTGCTCATGCATTTTTAGATGAAATGTTGGTTTTTGTTTTTTGTTTTTTTCGTTTGTTTGTTTTTAAAACATACAAAATTGCATCGGTATTTCTTAAAAATTCAGCAGAGGAGCTAAATCTGTGGGGGTGGAAAGGCTGGATTTAAAGCAGAGGCACCTTCACTTGTCGAAGCCTGTTGTAGTGTGTGTGTGTGTGTGTGTGTGTGTGTCAGCCTTTCCCTCCCTCGTGGGCATCTCCACCTCGGTTCAGAAGAAAAGGGCAATGCCGTACCAGCCTTCTTGTATTTTTAGCTATCCGAAATCCTCCTTAGAATACCAAGCACCTCATCAGGCTTCTGCAGCTCGGACTGAAGAAAGGGACTCGTCTTGGTGTGTGAATTTGACCACTGCAAAACGTGCTGGGAATTGTCAGATGCTCTCCCCATCCGCATTGCAGTCCTCCTCGAAGGGCAAGGGACAGGAGCGGAAATGAATATCCCGCCGTGTTATGTACATTTCCCAAAGTGGAAACGACAATTAGATAAAGTGACGTTGGATGTCCCAGTGAATCCACGTTTCCAGGATGTGGTACATCCCGTCGTCATTTCGCCACCCCAGTCTTTCACCTGCTGTATCGGGGGGGGGATGCTTGCCTCCACGTGTTAGGAAAGAGAGTTGGCCGAAAGCTGAGGAATGAGGGAATGGTGTTTTCTTGTGCCGTCCTTTTTCTAGTTAGCGCATTCTTCTTAGTCATACAAAATGTCAAGTTGCAGTCAACAGGAAGTGTGACATCAATGGAAGAGCAGCAGTAAAGAGACTTCCTGCAGCGGCATGAATTTAATGATGCCTCAGGTCACAGAAAGCTTGCATCAAATCCCTTGCCATCTCCCTTTATTCCCTTTATTTCATCAAGGTTTTATGGGCTTTGCCTCGTCTGCCACGGGCTTTTGAGAAACACAAAGGCTAGTACGTGCCTGTTGTCACACCACAGTATTGAGGCTTTTTATTAGCCCGCATTAGGCTTGTTCTGACATATTTAAGAGGTTTGCTGCAGTGTTCCTAAGAACTCCTTAGATATTAATTGTAACCCTTCTATATGGAGTTTTGCCAAGTTTCATAAGTTTCACATTTGTGATTAATTATATCAATAAGGACAAACTACAGATTTACTCTTTGGATACCTTAAAGCAGTCTCCGTGTTCTTTTTAGTGTTATTGCCAAATTGCTGTTAAGCTCTCTGGTGGTAATTGAATACAGTGGATGAAGCATGCCAAGTCTTACCCTGATACCCCGGACCCCACAGTCTGAGACTGGCTGGAAGAGGGGGTTGGAAGGGGGTGCTGAAAGCTCAGAGAGGCAGCGGTGCCGTCTGCAAGGGGCTCAAAATAGCAGCCAATTGACAAGACAGCTGCCGTGACAACATTTCAGCCTTGGAATAGCCGAGTACAGTCCCGAAGCGTCAGACTGCTGCGCATAAACACTGTATACACACAATCACCTCCAGCCATGCACTCTCAGAAACATCACGTCACCCTTGTAGCCCCCAAATCCGCCTCACCCGCATACTCTAACCCAATGCACAGTAGCTACTGGAAGTATCCTTAACCCCTGCTGCCCCGGAATGTCACCCTCTACTAAGATTAGTTGGCAGAAGACGTCCATGGGATGTGTTGACACTATAGCAGGTACAATATTAGGTTTGTTTCCACGGGCTGTCTGTCACTTGTGCATCATTAGTAGCTACAGCAGCTCACAGCCTAATGGGTGTCTTTAAGAACTGTTCTTAACAGACACTAGTTTGGTTGTGGTGATTTATAATCAAGCATAAAACCATATCAGTTTCAAAACTGTTGGACATAAGTTGCAGATTGTTTTATGTAGATATTTTGAAAAGATTGATTCATCACCGATGGGTGATTTCACTATATTAGGATTCGGACCATGAAACCAACAATTTTTCAAGAAGCTGTTAAAGGGAAATTATTCATGGCTGTGTTCTTGTTTGGCAGGTGCCGATATGGCTGGAAGGGCCAGTTTTGTGATGAATGTGAGCTTCATCCTGGTTGTGTCCACGGGACTTGCAACGCCCCCTGGCAGTGCAACTGCCAGCAGAACTGGGGTGGTCTGATGTGCGAAAAAGGTATGGAAGAAATGCTGTTTATTTATTTATTTTTTTACAAAATGTATTCACAGGGACTCGCAACACCAGGCAGGGTGAGTCGTTGTTGTCGTTCCTCTGCTCCCCCTCCAGGTACAGTTTCTTGGATTTCATGAGTAATAGATGAGCAAGCTTCTCACACCCTGACCCATTAACATTGAGGAGTTACATTTATCTTTATATTATTATAGTTATTCAGTTATTACAGAATTACACTGTTTATATGAGGTCTGAATTATATTTACTGCTCATTTTCTCTGAGTGGAGACCGGCGGCTGGATAGTTTTACTGCTTGTGTGATCTGAGCGACAGCAGGGACACCCGATCTCCACCCCCCCACATCCCTTCGTCACACAGGGCTCTTCAGGGGATGAGAATGGGCCCTAAGATCCCCAGCGGAGACTGATCCCCCTGCTCATTTATTTACCAGCCTTTAGGGTGACCTGGCTTTTAGCCTAAAGCTGGTGTGCAGCGATCAGTTAGTTTATTTTTGGGAGCTTTAAAATAATGAAGCAAAGAATATAATTGTGAAAAACTGCATTTATACAGATAAGCAGACTAAGTCTACACAGCTAGTGGTCTGAATACAGTAAAATTTATTTTAATGCAGTGCAGCAGAGGGGTTGAGAAAACACTGTGCTTCCTGTCAAAGTGGACAGCTGGTGCTTCTTGCTGACTGAGGAATCTGACGAGCTTTCTGGGAGCTCTCTGCTCCAACGGGATAAAAAGTGGAACAAGACGAGAGCTGTTTGTTCCACTTGTAATTGTTAAAGAGAATTATTAGTAGTGTCACTTCAGAATATACCAATACAGATAAAATTCTAGTATTCAGTTCAACCAGGAACAGTTTTGTAAAAACATTATTTTGACCTGCATTAACTCATATTTGGCAGTATGCCTCTGTACCCGTGTCTAAGATTGATGTGAAACATCATAAACACGTGTGGCAACAGCTGTCATCTTTGATTTTTGTTTCTGAGTGGTGAAGTTCTAATCCTCATGTTCCTTCTGAACATTCACTTATCACTTAATATCAAACTTCTCTCTACCTGGTTGAAAATATAGCGCAAAGTGAAAAAAGACAGCTTCATAGATTTTCTGTGCTTCTCTTTGCAACCTTGAGTTGTCATTTCACTTCACTGTGCATCTCCTTGCTGTTCTTGCTCCAGATCTGAATTACTGCGGTCGCCATCAGCCTTGTGTTAACGGAGGAACTTGTATGAACACCCAGCCAGATGAGTACCACTGTGCCTGTCCAGAGGGCTTCTCTGGAAAGAACTGTGAGATAGGTGAGAGAGAATCCACTCCCTAGAGGTGGGCCTTCCATGTACAGCATATTTTCTGCCCTCTCCTCCGCTGCTGCCGCCGCCTCCTCTCTCAGCTATACTGGCCTTTGTTTTGCTAGTCAGAAATACATGGCACTTTTTCTGTGAACTTATTTACAGTTTGTAGGGAAAGCATCCAGCAAGACAAATGGAGACTTGTTTTTTTTTTTTTTTTTTTAACAATACACTTTTTAAAAACAGGAAAAAAATACCCAAACATATCTCATATGAAATTGTTTCCCTTTCTTCCACACTATTGCTTCTTCAGCTGAGCACGCCTGTGTTTCCAGTCCTTGTGCAAATGGTGGTACATGCCGCGAGGTTCCAGCAGGGTTTGAATGCCAGTGTCCTCCAGGCTGGGATAATCCAACCTGTGCCAGTGAGTGTCTTCATTTCTTTTCTACACACATTTTTATTTTTATTTTTATATGATGAAAGTGATTTCCAGCCATGAAAATCAGGTTTTTGATCAGTCAGTCACTTACCTGAGTATTTTCCTCAGATTTGGATGACTGTGCTTCCAGTCCATGTTCTCATGGTGGAACTTGCATTAACCTGAAGGATGGATTCGAGTGTGTGTGCCTCCCTCAGTGGGAAGGAAAGACCTGCCAGATAGGTGAGTTTTGTGTGCATACACATATTAGTGTGTTTTTATTTCAGCCGGGGAAGATGTTTTTCTGCCCTTTTCCTGTTTGTTCCTTTTCCTAAAATAAATAATTGGCCTTTGACACGCAGGCATAGCATTGCTCATCATTTTGGAATGAAACTGCCATGTCACAAGGCCACAATATAGGATGTTGGTATCCTGAATGAGCTGGCAGCTTCCCACAGCGTGACCACCTTTTTCTCAATGACTTTATGAGATACCAAAGCCTATATCCGGCTGTTTGCTGGCCACTCTCTGTGGCATTCATTTCTGTAGAACCCCCCCTCTCCGATGAGCGGACGTGACCAGCATAAAGTCAGGAAATGGATTACAACCGGTAAACAAAGTTGGGTTGCGTGTGTGGGGGTAAAGGCAGGAAAGAGATCCCGAGAGTTCAGTGTCGTTTTACCAGCTCCAGTCTCAGTTTACAGGCAGCTATAGGCCTCCTGTCTTACCTGGCCATTGGTGCATGTGTAGAGTTTGGGGTTTCATAGAGAAGACAGGTGTGTGAGGGGAGTGTAGCAGGACTCCCTGCGGACTGCCCTCTCCTCCCCAAACACCCACTTTTAATACCTGCAGGTGGTTGATGTTTGTGAGTGAAACTGTTAATCTTTATTGAACAGGTCAAAGTGGTGTATAGAATTACTGTGAGGTTGTCTATATGGCGCACAAAACATATTCTAAAAATATTATGAAGTTCTAAAATAAACTTTACGTAAGACTTAATTACAGTGCTCTCAGTCTGGCTAAAATCTCTTAAGCAGGGAAAAAAACACCCTGTGATGCAAATGGGGAATTTTTTGCGAAAATGACGTCGACTCAGTGCACTACAGGATAACTCGGTGCTAAATATTAAATTCAGGTGAATTTTCGCAGATTTTATCACTTACACTGAATTTGAAATTGAGATCCTGAAAGTAGCTCGGCACTTTTACTCTTCAAAGTTTGTTTCCATGTATTGTGGAGTAAAGGCTTGAATAAAGCTTTTTGTAGCGCTTAAAGCTGTGTGAAGTCTGATACAGTGCCTGAGGTGTTGTCGCCTGAGCCTGCGTCATTTTCGGTCTGAAGACTATAGCTTTGAAAGTGGAGAGAACTCTGTGGGTACAGAAGCGAGCCTATGAGACCGCTCCACCTGATCTTAACCAGCAATGTTTTCATTGGTCAAGAAACTGAAAAGAATGAATATATTTATATCAAATTTTGTGCTTTTGAATTCCAATAATAGGCAGGTAATTTTATACCAGTACTCTGTTGACACCAACTGGACAAAAAATTTAAGAATTAAGGCACTTGAGCCATTAAATATTAGACGTTCATAAAGTTTTGTAACTCAGAAGTTGACCAAAAATCCTCATTATTTAAACTGTTCTTTGATTAACTCTTTATTCCTCGAACTTTACCTCACTCGAACTTCTGAGTGTTCGATTATACAAGAGCGCAGGTGCCAGCAGGCCTTCAAAGCTGGGTTGCTGGTCTCTTTCCTATCTTGTCCCTTCTCTGGTTTCATTCAATTGATTGACTCCTTACTCCTGCCTTCACAGATGCAAATGAGTGTGCAAGACAGCCCTGTGTGAACGCTTACTCTTGCAAAAATTTGATTGGCGGATATCACTGCAGCTGTTTTCGGGGATGGTCCGGACAAAACTGTGACATCAGTCAGTATTCCTCCCTTCAAAGTCGCTCCTAAATCGATAACTCTTCTTCTGGCTGCTCTCGGATGTCTCCTCCTCACTTTCTGGATGCACAGCTTAGGTGTACTTTGGCACCGCTTACTTTCCACACGTGTGGCAACGTGTTCCTTTCTCGTCTCGCAAACTCCAGCTGTGTTATGCATGCCCAGTTACATAAGAGTCTATCTGGCACCCTTCTCACTTCACTAGTTTTTTTTTCCTTTTCCTAACTTTTACTTAATCTATGCACAACTGATAGCGCATCGTTCACTCTTTTAGTGGAGTAGCATTTTTAAAATGTATGTTTGCAGGAAACTTGCTAATTCTTGTTGTCTTCCTCTTCAGATACCAGTGCCTGCCACGGTCAGTGCAAGAATGGAGCAACTTGCCGCGCTGTGTTGAACAGCTTTGTGTGCGAATGCCCACCGCAGTTCACTGGACAGCTGTGTGAGGTGAGTCTCATGTTACCCAGGTTCTACCAGTGACCATCTGCAATACGTAACGTAGCAGTAGGCTTCATTTATTAATTTTTGCTGTGAGATGCTGACTAACCCTTTATTGCATCTTGTGGTATAAAATATGAGAGGCGAAACCTGTTTTTGCTGTAATTCCATAAACCAATATCATGCAGGATTTATGGTTTGTGTAAAGTGCTTTACTGCCTTTCACATTTCTGGACTTGTTGGCCTTGCCAAGGCACACTTTTGGTTTTCACAATTTCACATTTTCAAAGTTTGTTTCAACAAACGCTTGTAAATTAGTAACGTTGATTATTTGATCAATCCAAAACCAGAAGTTTCACACACTACCTTAACTTGAGCTCTTTAGTGCTTAGGACAGGGTTTGGGGGGAATTACCTCCTCAACATGTCCTGAAGTTCTCCAGAAGCCTGGGAATGAACTAATCATTTGATTCAGCTGTGATGACCCAGGGCGATACCTAAAACCTGCAGGACACCGGCCCTTGAGTTCCCCACCCCAGGCTTAGGGGTCCAGGACCTGTGGAGTTTGTATGTTATGTCCACTTAAGTTCAGGGTGTTTTCTTGGAGGTCTAAGGCTACGTTCACACTGCAGGTCTTAATGCTCAATTCCTATTTTTATTTTTTTTATTTTTTGGTCTGGTTGTTCACACTACAAATAAAATGTGACCGCAAATGCTTTGTGGTTATATGCATGTAAATCAGGAGATGATATCTCTTATTGTAACCTGGTATCATGACCGTAAAAGGTGATCTGTTTGTTTCACAGATCTTCTGTAAACGTAGAACATTAACAAAATGCCATCATAGCGACTAATCATGTGCAATTGTACCAGCACTGATGGGGAAATGGTTTCCTGTGAAGTTGGATGCTAGAAAACATGTTGTGAAGCAAAGCAGCCCATGAATTGGGATGTAAGTGTCATTAAGATGGACTAGAAATTGCCCTAAACTATAAAGACAACCAAAAAGCCATAACACAATAGTCATCTGATCCAGCAGATCATTAAACTCCCCTACGTGCCAAATCGCTGCTGTGATCTGCCAAAACGTGCAATGTTGTCAGCCTCCAACCCTGCAAGCCAAGTCCACGTCACAATTCATACTTTTATTTCATAAAGATGCCACATATTGGTGTCCCTGCTGCAGCCCTTCATGTATGAAGCGAGTGTTTGAATGTAGGTTAGCAGTGAGGAAACCGACACTCAGCTGCATCTCTTGGGGTCCTGAATGGAGGACATTGCTGGTCAGGAGCCAATCCTGATTTAGCATCTCTACTATAAATATGAGCCTCTCTGAATGAGGGGACCCTGGATTTCTGCCCGCATACTACAGAGCTCTAATGCCTGCTGTTGCAGGGCCGTATAGTCCTACCCCGCAGTGCCAAAACTACAATGCCTCCAGCATCGTATTTCTCTGATTAGATTGTGACTACACAATCAAGTGCTTACTGGAGTAATCAATGTCATGTTTGCCTCGGTGTTTCATGTCTTCAGAGAAAATGGGTACAGAGAAAAGGCTAAAGGGGACAAATATGATGCATTTACTTTTATGGTAGTAGACATGCTTAAATTTTGTGAATTTTGTGAATTTAAGGGGCCAAGCAAAAAAGAGCTTTATCTTTTTATATTCAAGCACTCTTACTAGTGTGACTCTGTGAATATCACTTTTAGTCGGTCAAGCACTAGGTCCCAGCGTGAAATCTCATATTTGCTGCCTTGAAATCCATTCATGGTTCCTAAATATCTTTGTGATCTGATTGGCCAATGCTTTTTTTTTTTTTTTTTTTTTTAAAGACTCTTGTTATGGAAATTAAGCAATATATTAAATTATCTCAGAGTTAATTGAGATCGCGAGGTACCAGCTGCTGAATAATGATAAACGAAAGAAATTCTAATCATTACACGCTGACATCAGCAGGACCCAGGTGGATGCCCGCCTCCATCTGCACAATTATACCTCGGGTGGATGTAGTGCAATAGAAAGATAATATCCTACATGAAACTACTCGCAACACGGTGAATGCCATCTAGTGAGATTTTATTCACGCGAAATCAAACATCTCTAAAGCAAGAGATATCCAAAAATGGGCAACTTGCATCTAAACAATCTTAGAGGTGTGAAGAAAAAAGGGAAAATAACAAAAAACTTCCAGGAATACCCGATTTAACCTTTGCCAGTTTTCTCTTCAGAGCCAACTTTTCAAGTTATGACCACTTGAAATGGTGCATCTTGCAATTTCGCTTAAACTTGCCCGGGTGGTGCTGGTGACGAGAGCCTCTGTCTCCTGTAGAAAACTTGATGACAAGTGGACAACATGGATACGAGTTGAGAATAACAAAGAAAGAAAAGAGGGGGTCAGTAAAATGTGAGTCCTCAGTTGGCAATCTACATTTAATTGGGCCCTTTTTATTCACAGAGGACATGTGGGTGATCTAAGCGATCGCCAAAAAGTCTGGCTAGACACAGCAAAAATAAATTATGCAATGAAACGCACTAAATTCTGGGCTCTCGCCTGCTGCATTAACAATGACTTTTGTGCTCTGGACAGCACAAGCAGTTAACAGTGATGTTCTGCAGATTTATTACCTTCAGACGTGATTCCCTGACCACACACGTGCAAATACTAAAGAAAGAAGTCTGGCCCTGACACTTAAAATAAACTGTGTGTGACCACAAACTTCACCAACCCCGTTGCCCAATTCCATCTCCCTTTTTCAGCACCTTAAATGGCAACGGGTTGCAACCCAGAGTTTATGCACAGTTATGCTCTGTTTATAGGAACTGAAAGATTTTCTGTCCAATCCCAGAAATGCCGTATGTGTAAATGGCTGAAGTTATCACTCTGACCTCTAGGCAGCTTCTCTCTGTGTCAGAGGATTTATATTTATGTGTTTGCTTGTCTCTGCATGATGTGGAACCAGCTTCATAATGGATAGCCGTTCTTTTGCCTGCTCCGTTTCGCATTCTGACTCCTCTCAAAATAATCTTGAATGATAACGCAGGGCAGAGATGTAAAACCGAAAGCATGGATTCTGTTGATGAGCTTAGTAAAAGTTTCTGAGGCTTACATTGCTCGTCCACTTACTCAGTTTGTTCATAATCGCAGAGGCTTGAGCCAAGCTAAGCTGCTCACCTTCAGACTTTAGCTGTCCTTACTCCAGCTGGCCTGATTGCTTTATTATTATAGGCAGTTTAATGTGATGATAATGTTTTCTACCACTTAGAAACTCTTTTGTCCGTAAAACGGACTGATATAGTGTGCATACAAGCATTTCCTTCTATACTCAAGTATAATCTAACCAACATTCATACACATTCACACTCCGATGGGCACATCGGAGAGCAATTTGGGGTTAGTATCTTGCCTAAGGATTTATATTTGGCATGCAGACTGGGGAAGCCAAAGATCGAACCACCAACCTTCCAGTTAGTAGCTGATCTGCTCTACCACCCCACAATTCGTGAGCACTTGTTGAAGAAAACTTTGCTGAGTGTACTAAGTCACACCAGTTTACTGTATTGTTTGCCGGGGTTTTTGTGTCCAACATCAGGCTGTTAGTTTGAGGAAGCATCCTCAACATTTGTGCTTGCAATGACCTGGTGAATACAAATGGACTGTTTTAACATATAGTGCTTTAGATCCTCTTGGTCTCCATCATCACCTGAAGAAGATACCTGGCTGTGTAAAGATGATGGACTATGTTTACTGAGTGATTTTTATTTTATTTTTTCCCGCCATCATTGGTCTTATAATTGGAACAGTCACTCTTTTAATGTGTATATTTTGTTTGTCCTCCTCCCCCCCCCCCCCCCCCCCCTCTTCTCCTGTTTTTTCCAAAGATCCCAAGCTCGTCATCTTCTGATGCCTGTGATCCAAACCCTTGTGAGAATGAGGCCAAGTGTCATAGCATGGAACAGGACTTCTACTGTGCGTGTCCTGAAGGCTACGAAGGAAAGATGTGTGAAAGGCTCAAAGAGGATTGCCAAACCACTCCATGTCAAGGTGGCTAAAGGAATCTGCAGGGGGGAAAAGCCTTGAATAGATCGATAATATGAGAAAACACTAAACCTGAAACTTGTTTTTTTGGGGGGGTTTTTGGTTTATTTTTGACAGCTATTGACAGCTGCAGCATTGCTGTTGCAACCAATGACTCGGATGGCATACAGAACATACCCTCCAATGTCTGTGGCGCACGAGGACGCTGCATCAGCCAGCCAGCCGGAAACTTCACCTGCGTCTGTGATCCGGGTTTCAGTGGCATCTACTGTCACGAGAGTACGTAGAGACTTGAGCTTTCAGATTCTGGAGGTGCTGTGTGGTCTGTAATTCATTTTTGGGGTGTTTTTTCTTTTCTTTTAACCCTTTCAGTATATCATTATATACGTCATATCATTTTCTTTTTATTTTAGATATTAACGACTGCATAGGCAACCCATGCAGAAATGGGGGAACCTGCGTTGACAGAGTGAACTCATTTCAGTGCGTTTGTCCTGATGGATGGGAGGGCCAGCTCTGTGACCACAGTGAGTGATTTCCTGCTAGTCTTTGTGTCCTTCTTAAACACAAAGTCACGGCTGGTTTAAAGAATCTGCCACCACTGCGTTGCTTTGTACCAAACACGCCACAGTTTATGCAAAAGTGAATGAAACACTTGAATCATAGAAACCTTCCTCCTTCCTCAGATGTCAACGAGTGCAGACACAATCCTTGTAAGAATGGTGGACAGTGCATCGACCTAGTAAACGACTTCTACTGCAACTGCACCGATAACTGGAAGGGCAAGACCTGCCATTCCCGTGAGTTATCTGCCTATGTGTTAATGGGTGTGTTTATGTTCACAGCTCCCAGTAGTTCCAGCTCCACCTTTTGTGTATTTTTACAGTTTCACAGCTGTAAAACTGATGTCTACATTTATATCATTATTGGATTACACCAATTATTAATTAATTTCCTCTTGCCAGGTGAGCGCCAGTGTGATGAAACCACCTGCAGTAATGGAGGAACCTGCAATGACCACGGGGATACCTTCCGCTGTGCATGCCCACCTGGTTGGGGAGGAAAGATGTGCAACACAGGTGAGGCAGAAACGGAATACGCTAAGGTTTAAGGAAGCTAATGGCTTAGTTTTACGGGAGATTTTGTCAGAAATCCAAAAACTTTAAAATGTTTACTGAATGCTTTTTGCTCTGCTTTGCCTTCACTAAACAGACGATGCATGGACCAATCATTATGGCTACATTTGTAGTTGCTGGGAGCTCTTAATGCTTTTCATAACTATGAAATGGGCTGTTTCCGTCACTGGCTTAAATTGTCATTAATGGACACAATGCCAGGCCTAACCTTAACCCTCTGAACAAGCTGAGAAATGTGTGTGGGTGAGGCTAAGCCAGAGTAATGCTAATGATGGATTCAAGGATGAAAAAGTTCCTTATAGGTGAATAAGTATCATGTTAATAAGAAACTGTCACAAATTGACAGGAAACATCCACTTGTAAGATTATCAGAAACTTTTCTGATGCTTTATATTACTGACATTATTGTATTTTAAAACTAAGTGTAGGAGATGGAGCATGATTGTCTTTCACTCATAAACCTTATGGTGGGCAAACTTGGAGTAATAGATGGGATGTCTGTTGGCCCTTCCTTAAAGAAATGTCATGCAGTCTTATACCCCTTCACTTCTTGAATAGAACTGAGAAACAACCAGCTGTGTTAGTCTCGATTGGTTAGATTCAGAGTAAAACGGGCTACAGTGATTGCTGCAAATTTGCAAGACTTGGCATATCTTTTAATAACCACGTAACTCTTAGAACAGCCACCTCTGATCGGCTTCCATTGTTGGTGTCGCATTTCAGCAGTTTAATCCTGTCTGATCGGTGAGCCAATTTTAGGTTGACGAGAAAGTTGGCGAATGTTTTAATCGGAAGAGGTTTTGGATTCTGGTGACGGTCCTGTTTTTCTAGGTTCATATAGAAACTGTAAACATGACAAACGTAATGGCATCAGCAGTTTAGCATTTAAAAAAAAAAGAAGTGGGAAATGAAAATTCATAACAAGTGAGCAAAGTACCCATTTTTTTGCAGAATAGAACCCATTATAAATATCTGAATCACACTCATGAGAGACCAAACGGTTGACCTTGCATGATAACCTGAGGGCAGAAGCTACACCGCCATATGGAGTGGATGATTCAGACAATCCAATATGGTATTAGCCTTCCAAGGAGGACCTCCCTGAGAGCTTACTTTTAGCTAATTTAAAGGCTGGCTGGAATTAGTGGGACAAGCATGTCCCAAATTACCTCGCCTTTCACAAACACTCAGGTAACAAGTAATTATTCAAGCCTGTTGCTAAAAAATAGTAAAATGATGATAAATATAGGCTGGTAGAACATAAAATAACTGTCTATAGGGACTGTACGGTAAGTTTATAATGTGTAGGAAACCTGTAACCTTATTCCCGGTAGTTTAGTATCACCCACTTGCTCCACTGCTTGGAATCATATACCTGTGTATGTGTTGCTCTTTTGGGTTTTGACAGTCTAGTGCACCTCGTGACTCACTCTCTCTTTCCATAGCTAAGAACAGCACATGCGCCTCCAGTCCTTGCTCTAACGGAGGGACTTGTGTGGGAGGAGGCGATACCTTCACCTGCATCTGTAAAGAGGGCTGGGAAGGCCCCACCTGTGGACAAAGTTAGTTTTACTGTATAACTTTAAATATAACTGACGGTAAAATCACCATAATTGTGTGTTGGGTGTACTGTTTTTGAAGTAGAGGTGAAATCTGTTGCAATGGGACATTTAAGTTTTATTATAAAGTTTGCAAGTAACAAAAGCTTGAAACCCATGATCTTATTAGGCTGGGATTATTGCTGCATTACATGCATATAAATAATAGACTGGTCAATTCAGATGTGGGGGGTAGCATGCCACATGTATGCAACAAAGATGATATATTACTTTTTCTTTTCTTCAACAGATACAAACGACTGCGACCCTCATCCATGGTATGTAACATTTTTCTTTCCTTGCACACCTCCCTGGCTCCTTCATCTCCACGCTTTACTCAGACCTTACAGGCTAGAGGGGTGAAGGGCCACTAAAGCAGTGGAAGTTGTCCTTAAATCAAGCCTCAAAGGGCATCTCGCAGAGGAGGGGGCTCAAATATTGAATAGGACAGTGAGAAGTGGGAGTTTTGTGGGGAGGACAAGAGTCCCACCTACCCTGTGGTGAATGCAGGTGGGGGGTAGAATGGCAGAGGGGGTGTACGTGTCCATTCTTTCCGTGCGACCTGGGGGGAAGCTTGGCTTTTGAGGAGGAATGGAAGAAGGCCTGATGAGGGGAGGGGAGGAACTGGACACACCTATTAGCATTTGAAAGGTGGAGGCTTGTATTGATGGGTTGAACTGAGTCTTGTGACCCCCCCCCCCCCCCCCCCCCACAAAGGCACACAATCGATGTGCTTTGTTGTAGCTGGAAAGGATGTACGGCCTCATCTAACTGTCAGTTTCTTTGCTCCCTCAGTTACAATGGTGGGATCTGCGTGGACGGAGTCAACTGGTTCCGGTGCGAGTGCGCCCCCGGTTTCGCCGGACCTGACTGCAGAATCAGTGAGTGATGACATGAGGTTAAGATGAACCGATTTTGGATGTGATGGCTAAAACCAACCGCAATGATATTCCTGATGAGAACATGATTAAGAGGATTGCTACATGGAAGAAGGGGTGGAAAAAAGTATAGGGCGTGGAAAAAGATGGCTGTATTGACATCTAAATGTGAGACCGAGACAGACCCCTCTCACTTTCTCTTAGTCCTTTAACGCCTTGGGGGGGTCAAAGGTCATCCCTCCTCCGTACTCACACAGTCACATATTCACACATTGAAGACAAATAACCCAGTGACCCCGAAATTCTTCTTTTCTGCTCCTTTGTTTTGGACGGATAGCCTTCACCTTTTTTCTGGGGCTTAAATTTGAAAATTCTCATTCAGACATGTTCATGTGAAATCTGGGTGACAATGGCCTGGAGGTTCCCACTGACACGGGAGGCGAGGCTTTGTGATTTTTATTTTTGCACTTTTTGGAAGTTTTTAGTTTTGACTGGCTGTTTTCGGGGTGGGGGGTGGGGGGTTGTTATTGGGGGGCGGTTTTTGTTTGTTTTGTTTGTTTTTTTTTGTTTTGTTTTTTTCCCTAAAGCATCAAATGCGATATGATTGTAAGTGGGGGAAAATGTGACTTTTATAGTTATTTTCTATCTTTTTGAATTAACTTTGTCTGTAGAACAACATTTATTTAACAATGCACAGCCAATGGTGACTGGTTGCAAAAAAGGCATAAGAAGGCCACGTCTTGTTTTAAGATGTCAACTTTTTCCCAGTAGCTCAAAGTACTTAAAACATCAACTTTCAGGGAGCTTGGAAGACTCGTAGACCTAACTAATGGTTTAACATTTTGTCTTAACTTGTGGTGTTTTTCCTCTTTGTGTAGACATAAACGAGTGCCAGTCTTCACCCTGTGCCTATGGAGCCACCTGTGTGGATGAGATCAATAGTTTCCGATGCATCTGTCCGCGTGGAAGAAGAGGAGCCAGATGCCAAGAGTGTAAGCACGCTCAAATTTAAGTGATTTCAGGATGAAATCACCTCCTTTAGATTTACATTATTGGCTAAAACCATGGAGTATCTTAAAAACAAAGTTTTGCATTGAATGAGCTCCAGTGGCACAGTGGTTTAAGCTGAGGGCTTTCACTGTCTGGTTATGACATGCAATTACGAATGTCGTTATCTACTGCAAGGGGCTTAGACCAGAGAGGAGAGCTGCAGGAGGACAGCTGGAGATTTTAAAACTGTTCCATAAGTGCATCATGGTTCTTTCTTCCTATCTATAGTCATAGGCGTTGGGAAAACTTGCCACTATACTGGGCTGCAGTTTCCACATGGCAGCCACTGGGAGGAGGAGTGCAACAGTTGCCATTGCCTCGATGGCAAGGTGGATTGTACAAAGGTAAGAGACTTAATTACTATCAAAACGGCGTTCTGATTAAGAGCTCATCGTGTTTATCTTATTCCTGGACCCTAAAGTTAAATAACCGCCTATGATTAGAGCCTTCAAGGTACTCTTCTTTCGCACCTTTGAACAGATTCCAGGACTTGTGCTATTTTTAGATGGCTTGATTGATATCCTGTTATTAGCTTTTCCATTCTGTGTCTTTGAGTTCACAATGGATATTATATTCAAGGGAATATTTCCAGAAGCATGAATGAAAATGCTTTCATATGAAGTCGCACTCCCACGTGATATTTTAACATGGTGACAAGTGACGCAAGAAAGAAATGGCAATGCGAATGTTGTCTCACGTCTAAGTGAATATTTTGACCTTGTAACACCAGGTGCTGTGTGGTCGCCGTCCGTGCCGGCTCGAGTCATCGGGCCGTGACCAGTCCTGTCCGGCTGGACAAGAATGTCTGGAGCATAGCTACTTCACCTGCTTCTCCCCCCCTTGTCATCAGTGGGGGGTTTGTTCAATGGTTGGACCTCCACCTCCACATGTAACCACCAAGTGCCAGCCAAACAGCGGCCATTTGGACAACAGCTGCGGCCGCATAACACTCGTTTTCAACAGAGACAAAGTACCGCCGGTGAGTAATCAGCCACATATCGCTTTGAACCGTTTAAACTACTTTTTGTGTTGCTTCTGATTGATGCGTTTTGGGTTTTTGTGTATATCTACAGGGAACAACAGTGGAGAATATCTGTTTTGAGCTGAGGTATCTTCCTGATACTAGACACTTGGCAAGAGACCACGCTCTTCTCCTTCTCTGTGATCTCTCTCATTCAAATCAGGATGCTGTAGAGGTGGCTATAGTAAGTAAAAGTGAATTAGAGTGGTGATTATTCCATTGCCTTCTAAAACAACCTTATTCTAGCTCATGTTGGAGATTTTACCAAGCTTGATTGACACAGATTTATGGGTGGGGGCATAAAATACACAAACAGCCAGTGCCTACCATACAACCCAAGTGGCACACTCAATAAGATGTTTGGTTGGGACTTCATGGTGTCTTTTCTCTTCCTTTCTTTTTGATTTGGTTCTCAGTCTTTCCATCCAGAGGATTTACCTGACCACAGTCTGATCCAGGAGACAGCCAGTGCCATTGTGGGCACCTTGTCTAAGCGGCACAATAGCACCATAATGCTGGCAGTCATTGAGGTCAAAGTGGAAACCCAGGTCATGCGTCCATCAGTGGGTAAGGAATGATTAACGCAAATGTTGCACAATGGTTTCATAGGGCCAGCCATTTTTAGTTATTGCTGACGTCGCACTCCTACTGACTTTACTTTTTCTACAATTTCCTTCCATGTTGATGTCAACAGATTACCTGGTGCCTCTACTATGTGTCGCCTTTTGTTTGCTCTGCCTCTTCTGCATCATTGTATGTGTTTGGTGGACACGCAAACGGAGAAAAGAGCGCGAGAGGACCTCCCGATCAGCCGCCGACGACAGCGTCAACAACCAGTGGGAGCCACTGCGGATCGTTGTGCGACGTCAGCAGGAGCAGCAGCAGCTGAAAGAAAGCAACAGGGAGGCTGAGCAGGAGCGCAAAAAGCTCATGGGCCCCTCCTGTCGGACGTATGATGAGGAGGAGGAGGAGACGGAAGGCGAGCTTGAGCTCGAGGAGGAGTGCGGTGGAGCAGAGGCGGGAAAGCAGCTAGTTTATAAGTACTCTAAAACTGCAGTGCGGCCCAGTGGAGGAGTGATCTGCACCATGCACAGCTCCAGTTCACCTCTCAAAGCCCCCCACCGGACCCCAGGCTACAGTCCCAAAGACAACCGCTGGAAAAATGTCAGTGCGGTCCTGACTGGTCAGAAAGACCTCAGAGACTATTGTGTATGAGATATATATAAACAAATGAGTTGCAGTGTGGAAGCAAGAGAAGCTGCAAGGCAGTGACTATTTTTAGTTTGGACTATTTTTGGAAAGAAAGGAAAAAATGCTTTTTGTTTATATAAGCCATTGTTTGCTTCATTTTCATGTTTTCGTCACTGTCACCTGAAGTGATTTTTGATTCAGGAGGGCTAGAGCACAGTGAACATCCTTTTTTCATTCTGTTACCTTATTTTCCTTTACATGTACACAGGAGCTGAGATGTAATGATATTTCAGGAGGCAAAAGAAGCTTCTTGCAATTTATGTTTATGGACTTGTTGGTAAATGGTGAGTCACTGATATGGATTGAGGGGAAAAAAAAAAACAGGCTGTATAATGATTTTATTTTTTGTTTTGTTTACAGATGAGTATGATTTTGTTAAACTATCAGTGGGTTCCTGTTCAGTGTCTGTTGGGGCAGATGCACATTAAAGGGAGAGAAAGGGAAGGGTTTTAGAGACATGGACTGTTGTTGCATTCACAGTAACAGGGGAAACTCTCCCTTTGCTCTAGTTTCCTTCCAGCTTTGCCCACCTGTGGCCGTCACACGCCAGCCTTACCAAAAACACTTGGCCTGGAGGGGAAGAGGGGGCAGAAACCCCAGTGCCTACTATGTGGCCTTCCTTGTTTTTGTTTGTTTTCCTTTTCTCCTGTCTCGTTTTCTTGGCTGAAAGCTCTGTTTGACGATTTTTTGCAGTATTTGAGTTGGTAGCAAGTGCCTTTCTAAGAGCTGCGTTCAGGCTCCAAGTTGCGCTGCCCAGTTTGACCTCCTTGTTCTCAAATCTCAAAGGGATATGTGTACATTTAGACTTCAGTTTCACAGCAACGCCATTCAAGGTATTTGATCAAAGCAGAAATGAATACTCTGTACATACATGTAAATACTAAAGGAGTCGCTGTGTATATTTGAAATAAGTAACTTAAAAGACAAGTCACACATTTTTATTATTATTATTATGATTAATATTATTTTTATTTTTTTTACAACGCCATTCCTTTTATTTAATGCCTGTCCAAATAGGCAGGTTTTATAACACTTAATACTCAGTCCCGCAGTTAAGAGTTAGGAACATTTACAATGAGGTACCACCTATGAAGGAATTTATGAAGGGTTTATAAATGGTGTCTATTTTTTGAGGGGGGGGGATTAATATGTGTTTTGAAATATTAAAGAAAAAGTGATGTTTTTGGTTTTTCACCTTTACATTATGTGATAGAATAACTTTCACAGGGCCGAGGCATCACTAGGCATCCTGTTCGTGTCATTGATGTTATTTTGGCTTTTCTTTCAGTCTAGCATGCAGTCTCAATATTAGCTTCCCTTAGTGTTTTGTTGTTGTTGGGTTTTTTTTGTTTTTTAGGGGGGTGTATACACAATTGGCAAAGTTAGAAGTAGGAAGCATAACCTGGATGTTTTATTTTGTAGGAAAATGTACTATAAATGCTTTAATTTTGCTCTTAACTGTTGTTAGCCCTAAGATTTACTTGCTATTTATTTGTAAGTGCTGTAGAGAAAATCATATTGCTATTATGGTCAAACCGCTCTTTTGCTTTCTTTTTCATTGTTTTTTTTTTTTTTTTTTTTTTTTTTTTTTTGTCTTTCTTTTCTTTTTCTTTCTTTTTCTTTTTTTTAAAAGCTGCCAATACTATAGCCTTAACAAGTTTCCAAACCATTTATAAACCCATCACAAACCCTTTTATTTCAGGTGCCTTAATGTAACAGTGCATTGTTTGTGTTATCAGTGGTCGTGTTATGTTGTTGGGGTTTTTTTTTTTTTTTTTTTGTTGTTGATGTTGTTCCACTATTAAGGCAGGTAAGACATCTTGTGTAGTGTGGTGTGCTTTATTCGCTTGAGTAAAGTGCACTGCTGTCACTTTACTGTCATGGAGATTTCTAAAATAAAACACAGATGGATGGTTTAAAAACAAAAGAAAAACCAGTCCACTCTTGGCAGTTTAGAGTTCTGAATGTGGATGTTGGGTCAAATGTGGACATCTTGCATTAGCATTAGCTTGGTTTAAAGGCTTTAATGAAGGGAACAATGTTTGCAGATGCAGATTTTTCTTTGCCATCATGCAAATGTGTTTTAAGTTACCAACTCAGTTTAAACAGTTTTACCCCTTTTCATATCATGTCATTGTCTCAAAACGCCATTGTATTTCTGTAAATGGGACACAGCAAAATAAACAATTAAAGCTGCATCACTGCTGGTGTTAAAAGCTGAATATGCATATTGTATACATTTTATTGTACAAGGGACATGCGTTAATTTTGTACAAAGCAAAAAGGGTGTTTCATTGTTTTAAATAATCATCCTACCTATTTATTAAAGCAGTTTTGACACACCATGATCACACTTGTAATATTTGGTTTACAGTGCAAAAATCACCCCAAAATATTCACATCCAGTGTAAATTGAGCAGCAACATTTAACGATTACACACATTCTGATTTGTCAATGTATTTTATTTTTTTTAAATTAAATCTTGCCTTATACTACAGTCAGTCTAGAGAAAATGCTGATTGGAGATAGTGGGACACCCAAGATGTATGTCATTCTACAATGCACCTCTGAAATCATTCCCCTTGAAATGGTTGTTTCAAAGACGGGGACCAGATAAGCAAGCACGTGCAATCAATGGCTGTCCTCAAAACAAAATGTCAATCAAGGTGGCAATAACATAGGAATATGATGGCGTCATCGGTATACACAGAAATTCACGTTAACTAGTTCCATCCAGATAGAATGTCAGATTTAAAATAGAAACTTAAAAGTGGGAATACAAACCAACTGAGCCTTGTGATTGAAAGTGGTTGCCCACAGGCCGATTATTGAATAGTTGAGTAGTAATTCTTTCGGGAGCAGTTCACCCTGTGATTTTGCAATATTTGTCCACAGGGATAAAGACGAAAGCACAAAGTGGGCAAAATAAGCTGCTCACTAAATTTACTTCTGCTCAATAACTGTACATGTATTTAAAGGAGCTTGCAAAGAAAAGCGTCTGGACTTTAAGTTGCTTGAAGACGTTTCACCTCTCATCCGAGAAGCTTCTTCAGTTCTAAGGTCAAATGGTGGAGAGTCCCAGATATAAACCTAGAGGGGTCACTCCCACTAGGTTTATATCTGGGACTCTCCACCATTTGACCTTAGAACTGAAGAAGCTTCTCGGATGAGAGGTGAAACGTCTTCAAGCAACTTAAAGAAGTCCAGACGCTTTTCTTTGCAAGCTCCTTTGACTACGATGACCTGGATGACTGAGAACCTTCACAGACATATGTACATGTATTTGTATTTGTAATGACACAATACAACTTGTAACTGCTAGCATTTACCCCAGAACTGCCATCTTCTGAATTTCTGCAGCACTTGCCCTTGCCCTCATCTGTGTGGTCTGCGAAGGACCTGGATCGATTGATCCAATAACCATCGCCAGCCTCCCCGCCGTCCTGTCATCACTCATGCTCGCACCACACCAATAGAATCTTGTCTCCTGCTCTGGGCCGATCTCTTCTCTGCCAATGGGAGACTGGCGTGATCGTCCAGGCCACATAAGGATGTGAATGTTTCATGAGTAATGTTATGGTGTGTGGTGTGGGTGGGACAACTTTTTTCCTCCTCGTTCCCATGGGTAGCCCCAGCTGGTGCTAATGGGACCTTCCTTTGTCAGAAAAGCCAGATCAGCTTACAGTTTCGTAGGAGTGATGGTGTTATAGCGGGAGAAGGGAAGTCAGCTGATTATGTTTACGGCTATATTAATATATAGATGACTGTATCATTTTAGGAAGGGTTTGGCTGGTCTTAGGATAATTACATCCTGTAAAAGAGATCTGGTGGACATGAGTAACCGATATCAGAATGTGGTGTTTAATTTCTGCAGAAATACTGTCTGCAGTTCTTGCTGCTTTTATGACTCAGCATTTATTGCTTTGTGCTCTAAACAAACAATTTGTTTGAGCATGGCCGTGCTCCTCCTGCTCTGTATGAGGTCCTTTAAGGGGGGCTATCATGCTTTCTATCTCCATATTTTTACCCTTGGACTCTAGTGGAGTATCTCTGGATAATTCACAGTTCAAAATAATCCATATTTAATTTATACAGTTAGGGCTTGGTACAGTTTATTCTCTGTATGAAATAAGTTGTTTTCTCTGGTCACGTGTAACATATGCATGCACCATCAAGCTAGATCACACTTTATTAAGTACACCTTGCAAATCTAGGCTTGGACCACAGTATGGTTTGAGCAATGTCTTTATACGTGATGGCATGAAGGTGCTGAAAACATTCCTTAGAGATTTTGGCTCATATTAACATGATAGCATCACACAGTTTCTGCGTATTTGTCAGCTGCACATTCGTGATGTGAATCTCTCGTTCCACTACACCCCAAAGATGCTCTATTAGATTGAGATCTGGTGGCTGTGGAAGCCTTCACCAATCTGAAAGTGACTGCAGTTCGAGTACAATGAACCTAAACTGGTCCAAGAAACCAGTTTGAGACTATTTTAACTTTGTGACCTTATCCTGAAGGAGCCATCAGAAGATTGGTAGACTGTGATCCCAAAATTAAAGAACGTGGTCAGCAACATTACCAAGATAGGCTGTAACATTAAACAATGCTCAATATCCTCCAGTCCATTAAACCACCCCCACAACCAAGCTGAACTGTTTATAAGGCAGGATAGATCCATGCTCACATGCTATTTATGCCAACTTCTGACCCTACCACCCGAGTGTCACTGTCAATGTCATTATGGTGAGCCCATGTGAATTTTGGCCTTAGTTTCCTATTCTTAGCTGATATGAGTGACAACTAGTGTGGTTCTTTGCTGCTGTAGCCAATCCACTTCAAGGTTGGCTGTGTTGTGCTTTTCTGCATGTGTTTGTATGTATGTCTCAACAAGGCATTTTCTCCCAGAGAACTGTCTCTCACTGGATATGTTCTCTTTTTGGAACAAACTAGAGATGGTTTTGTGGGAAAATCTTTGCAGTTTCTGAAATACTCAGATCAGCCCTTCTGGTGAAAACAGCTACGCCATGTTCAAAGTCATCTTTCTTCTCCATTCTGTCCAGTGTATATATGACAGAAAACACAATTTGGTTTAGAAGAACTTGACTAGCCTTCTCAGAGGCCTAACCAAGACCCCATCCAAAAGCTGGGAAGCTGTCATTGAGCTAAAGATTTATTAATTCTCTTCGTCTTTGGACGGTGATTGAGAACAAATCCGTGCAACTAGGTTCCAATATCTCGTGGAAAATCCGAAGCTTAAAGAGTGGAGGTTATTATTAAAGCATGCATATGTTGTGTAGCTCTTACTGTTATGCTTTTTTCACGTGTTATATTGACGGAATCTTGGATTGACTCAAAGTCATAAGAGTCCCAGCTAAGAACTGGGAGATCAGTGACGGCATCACACATGCTGTAAAACATTTAGCCATGTGGCATTTGTCACTCCACTTACATGCACTTACTTGTAGCTTTGTTCTAGCTGGGAAAAGGTTAGGTTAACAGGAAACTAATATTCTGATTAAGTCTGTTATGTATATAGTCCAGCATTCTGAATCACAAATTTGCCATTAGAGAGCTTTTACAATATGCTCTGTAAAACGTTATTTGCTTGACCTACATTTAATCTGTTTCTGCTTTTAATGCCAACATCAATTTTTTAAGTCTAATCTGGAAGCATACCAATATTTATTTATTGCTGTTGCTTGGTACAAGGAAGTAGGAGTGTGATGCCAAGTTGCTTTTGTGACTGTCGGCATCAATTCCCCCCACATACCCCAGACTGCATCAGGAAACTGACACCAGATTCCAAAAGTAGCTCTCCACAACAGCCAAGGACATTTCAGTGCTGCATTTGTAAACACGTAGTACTACTACAGACAGCTCAAAATGGCTGAAAGGATTCACAAGGGACATAAACAACTAAATATTAAAGGTCACGACTGCTTTTCTTCATTAATTCAGAGGAGGTTGTACACTCTTTTATAGACACATACTCCCTCTGCACACACAGGCAGACTAAGTCTGAGATGGTATTTTTTTCTGTTTGCTCTGCTCGCTCTAGCTGCTCTGTACATCTGTTGATGTGGGTCTTTGGGACCATCTGACTGTAGAGGCAGCTGGGTGACAGGATTTAAGGCTAAGCCCCTCGTCCCTTTAAACACACATACACACATAAGGTCTACTCACACATACACACGCTGAACGTGGCCCTTATTGGACATCAAGCTGGCGCGTGCTGGTGGACAGCGGGGCTGCAGCTGGCACTGTGGGTTGTTTAAGGCAGGGAAACAAGCAACAGTGTACTGACTGAGTCTGTGTATGTGTGCTGGGGGAGTGGTGTGTTTACTGGCACTGCAGGTCTCTTTTGGCGCTGCAGAAACCCCGACACGTACCCTCTGCACCAGAAGGCGGGGAGGGCACAGTCTTGGCAGAGAGGAGGAGATGGCTGGGGCTGCAGGAGTGCAACAGAGATCCATAACAGCTTTTCTGGGACAGCTGTTCGATGTGTGTGTGTGTGTGTGTGTGTGTGTGTGTGTGTGTGTGTGTGTGTGTGTGTGTGTGTGTGTGTGTGTGTGTGTGTGTGTGTGTGTGTGTGTGTGTGTGTGTGAATGCCATGCATCTAAATAAACAAAGATTAAGATGAAAATTAAATGATTTGTGGCTAAACCTAGCATTTACACTGAGACAAATAGATAATGCAACATAGACAGAGGTTTAATCACTGAAATTTAAACTGATTCTTAATTATAACTATTTCTAATATTGATCAGTCTGATGATCATTATTTCAAATTCATAAATATATAAAATTTTCACATTAAAGGTAACAGGAAACAGGATTTTATGGAGTAATTTGTTTTTGTTTTGTTTTGTTTTTAAGCAGTGATAATAAAAATTTCTCAATTTTGATTGATTCAAATTCTATTTATTGACTAATAGTTTTAGCTCTAAACAACACTGAGAGGTAGATTAGCTGCCTATCCTCAAAAACAATGTTAGTTGTCCTCTGGGGATTGTGTGCGTACATAGATATTTAAATGTAAATCATTCTTCTTCACAACCATGGAAGCAATTCAAAACAAACATGCTGGATTTTGCGGGGTCAAAGGAAAGGTCAAGAGGCCAAAAGAGGATAAACAAACTGTGAATTTTAATCTACTTCCCTACCACAGTCGGCAGCCACTCTTGTACATGCATGCTCATGCAGTAGCTTGATGCCAGTGCATGCACAGCACTTGTTGGTCAAATTGATACCTCTGGTTTAAACGTGTTCTTTAGCAACTGGTGGTGAAAAACAAAGTGCATACATTACATGATTATGAAGATGGAAACACTTATGGTCAG